ATTTCTCTCAATTGGTGTTGTTGGTGTTGTTGGTGATGATGGCCTTCGTTGGAGAGAAACACTAGTGGAAAAGAAGAGAGAAAGAACTTGAAATCGGAATCGAAGCAAAACCAAAACAATCCAAACCAGAAGGCTCTTTCATGAAATATTTCAAAATACAACTATCCGATATCCGACCTCATCAACCATATCCGACCACCACACCGGGTATCCACATCTTCAGATCTCCCAGTCCACAGCTCAAAATACTCAACTCGAACTGGCTTAAATAAGAAAAACCCTATCAGCTATATAATCCAACAAGCCAGAAACCTGCACCAATCTATGCATAGTGGACTCTCATTCTGAATAAACCATTCAAATCAGAATCAATAATGCTTTGAAACATAATTGGGCTATCTGATGGTAGAGATCTAAACTCAGCTTATAACTCACAGACAGGAGTATCAGAACTTGAGTTTTTCATACAAAAAAAAAACAAACAGACTTTGCTCAAACAGGTCAAACAACACCATTCACACATATTTCGAGCCATTCAATGGGGGGGGGAAACAAGAAAGGAAAGAAACCATACACTATCCCCTAGACTGTTTTTGTTTAAGGAGAACAAGCCCACACTACAGGCTCATCCTGTAGTACGTTTTCTGTTGAGATAAATCAGGAGCCAGCAGTAATGATCTTGGGAAGAACAAGCAAGAAGAGTTCCTTCCTAGATTCTGGCTCCAGTATACATATATATATATAAGATGAGAGAAAACAATGAAAGACCTTACAAAACTGTGACATGTGGAGTAAGCATACAGGCAATAGATCAGCAGAAAGGCATGATTAGACAAAGAATCCATACACATGGATACCTCAGCTTTTTCTTTTCTGTTGTCTATGTTGTAGCTTGTTATATGCTTCTAGCCATTAATGGTGCACTCATTCACGCATCTCATTCTGAATCAAGATCCTCAAACAAAACCCATCAAGACCACCACCTCAATCCACAAGAGAACTAAGTTTTTTTTGTTTTTCATCAAGACAGATGTAGAGAATTAGTTGATCAATGCACCCTTTTTTTTGAAAAAAAAAAAAGAAGCAACAAGGCTTTGAGGGATGAAGAGATGAATTGTATCTTGGAGTTGTTTGATTTCCAATCATAAAGGATCTTACATATCAAGATAAAATTAATAGAAGTGGAACCATCAACCCACACTGAGAGAAAAACAGATCATATAATCCCCTCCCTGATCTGAATGGCCAGTGTTCTCTATATTCCAACACATCCTTCTAGCATTTCACCGAAAGTCCCAGAAATTGCCCAAATCTGTCTGAAATCCTAAACAAATTACATCTAATGGATCCCATATTATACAGGACATTCTTGATCAAATCCCTCAGCTCTTCTCTCGATTTTCATGACAGTGCCTGATCTTTTAAAGTGTGTGTGGATTATCCAATAGGTGGTGATTTTTAAACTTGCATCAAACAGGTTTTTCTGTAAATCCACTAGCAAATTTAGAAGTAGTACTTCACCTGAAGGAAAGTCCATCAATCTTGGTGATCAGTACTGAGAATTTCTGGTGGTAATTTCCTGTATATATAAGATGAACTTGCACCTCTTTCCCCTCATTCTACATAGCGTATCAAATATCAAATACACTGCTGTTAAGCTTCACACAAAATTTCTGATCTCCCAGCACCTTCTTAGATTATGCTATACTGACCTGTAGTTGCAATTTGAATGATGTCTCAGGCTTTGTTTCTTTTGACCTCTTTGCTTCATTTTAAGATGGAAAGTTTTGAATATGAAAGCTTTCAAAATTTATATTGAGGTTGGAATATTCAAATTGAAATCATAAAGACACATAAGTATTCAGCTATCATTTCATTTCTTAAACCAACTTGAAATTCTGCTTCTGTTTCTTAAAGTAGAATACAGAGCATTTCCACATTGAGTGTAATATTCAATGCTAAAGGTGGGTGACAAAAGATATAACCAGAATTGAAATCTGATGATGATATCTGATCAAGAATCAATTGAAAAAAGAAGCAATTCCAATTTAAGAAGCAGAACAATAATAAAAAAAACATCAGGAGGTTGAAGGGAAGGCTCAGATTTCTAATCTACTGGACCACCAGAAGGAGGTCGTTTAAACCAAAATCAGGTCCAGGTTCCTTTAATATGGACTAGAAACTCATCAAAACAAAAATAGATCAAGATTTCTAATTCATTGCCAGTAAACAGGAAATAGAGGATCTAATTTTGTCTCAAATACAACTTACAAGCATAACCGTTAAAAATTGATCAGCAGAAGAGACAATTGGAAGAAGGTCCATGAAAACCAACCAAAGGCTGATATTCTGATAAAAATATTAGCCTTTGGTTGCTTTTCACCTCAGGCACAACAGAAGATTTGTTTGAGTTGTGAGAAGAGCACGAGGCCTGTGGAGATTTACCAGTGAAGTCTGGGGTACAAGTCATCATGAAGCCGCATGGAGAAGTTCCATGGATCCAGACAGGCTCTTTCTAACTGGAATCATTCCAAAAAATTGAAAAAAAAAAATCAAGCTAGCCTGATTTGGATCGCGATGAGGGCATTCTATGGATCAGCCGGTTTGTCCCAGCGAAAGTGGGTATATTGTTCGATATCGGGCAAATCATGCTCGAGCTCATTCAAGAAAACGTGCATGTCCACGATTCTCTTGCGCCACTCCAGGAATTGCTTGGCCCTCGCCTTTTCCACTTCGGTTAATTTGATCACGACCTCTGAAGACCCCAGTACGGGGTCTTCGATCTACGGCTTGAAGCTCCATGAGAAATTCATCCGGTAAGGCCCCAAGGAAATGCATCTGGAACCATTTGGCCTTCTTCCGCACTTCATTAACACTCAGCCTTGCTGCCTTGTCATCGTTAAACACTTTTGCACTGATCGTTTTGATGTGGTCCATGCCCGTCCAGTACTCTTCTGGTAAGTGCCACTTGAGATATAAATCGATTATCTCCCGTAACTGAAGATCAGCTTTGATCAAGTAGAAATATGAGAGACCAAAAAGCCTCTCCAGGATCACAAAAAAACCCGAATCTATCTTTTCATTATCAGCCCAACCTTGTAAGCATGATAACTCGAACAAGACTGGCACTATATCCACTCACCTCTCAAATCGGCGAAATTTCTCTGGCGCCATGTTTTCAAGTAAAATAGAGATGAGCCACCAACTGCCTTCAATACGTCCAGAGCTCCAGGCTCGACCATTTTTTTCAGGTTCGTCTTCCCTACGAAATCCTCCAGAATCTTGTTTGCTTTCTTCTGTATACCGTTTGGTACTTCTTTCCGCATATGACCACTACCAGGTGAGATGGCGGATACGCCGGTTGATTGCTTCCAAAAAAAAAGAAGTCTCAATGATCACTTGTTCTTTCGAATGTATGAATCAATCGGTTCTTGAAAACTGCTTACAAGATGGGGCTCATTCTCCGGATGAAAGCGTTGGATCTTTGGTGATGTGAGTGCTTCATCCAAATTAGGAATCCGCATGCCCAACGCAAGTTTTGAGATGGATGATGATAATAAAAGAATTGAAGTGTGCCTGGAAAACCTCATATCTACTGGTATTTAGCTCCAATCATCTAATGATGTTTTGAAAATTTCCTATGCGGAACATGGGGTATAAATCAAACATTTGAACGGCCATGCAAACTCAGCTCTTTAAAATCTGCAGGGGGCGGCAGTTTCTTAGCACTGCTGATAGTGATACGTTTTCCTCGATTTAGAGCTTGATCGGGATTAATTTCGCCGTCCGTACACTACCGGTGTCCGGTACATCCAGTTCATGGTATGTACCGAAGATACATACAGACACACTCGGTGGATCAGAGCTGCCTCGTCAAACTTGGAAAATTGATATTTTGATGACCAGTCATACCGAGCGATGACCAGATGTCGAGAGGGCTGTTTACATTGGCATGACCACCGAGCGATGAGCAGATATCAAGAGGACTCTCATTCCATGGCGCGGTTATACCGAGAGAGCTCCCTTCGGAAGAACAGTTATATCGAGAGGACATTGCCTGAATGACGAATCATACCAATCATCAAACTGGCACGACGTGTACTACTCATCCAGGGAATCATCCTTGGCACCTGGTTATACATGCCTTGTACCAGTTGATCAATGAGGGACCTGTCTTGGCAATAATAGTCTGGTCCAAGGGATATTGCTTGCCAAGGAAGACTTCATTTTGGAAGTACAATTTCCCCTTGAAATTCAGCCGAAGGCCCCCAATTAGCTCACACGAGGTATTCCGCAAGCTTTCAAGTTGTCCCTCAATCCTTGGGCTCGAGTGATTTAGGCCTCTTCTCCTTTTTCCTGAAGAGTTTAAATTTATCAAATCACTTTATCTTTTCTGATATCTCAATGGGCATCTACAAAAATGTAAAGTGCAACTGTCCTACTGATTATTCAATCATAAACTTGACGAGCCTCTTCAGAAATCTTGTTATGCTCAACTTCGTCCAATTTGTTGAGAGTTTTAAATGAGTTTGTTTTCAATGTAACTAGAAAAATGAAACCTCCCCTGAGAACAAGAACAAGAAAACAAGTTGAATAATGCGATGAAAATAAAACTGCAAGTGGATCAAAGTGGAAGGAACATCCATCGGATTTTGCCAATGAAAAAAGCGTTATGTACAATGGAATAATTTAAAATGAAAAACGGAACCCTCATTTTTGACTGTTTGTATTTTTATGTACATATCAAAAGGAAACATCAGGTAATTTGAGGAATTGTTTACAAGCCTTCGCGGGAGAGTCGCCTGCTGAGATCCGGGTTTTGATTTCTGGCGAGAGAAGAAACGCGTAGTTATGCTTGGAATCAGAAACGATTGTGATGGACTATATAAGAGAAAAGAGTGACTGACCTGGTAATCTAAGATCGCAAATTGGGATTGGAAACGAGCAAATCGAAGAGCCGTCGGGCAACAAGATCCTAACAAAAACATCCCGGAGACAGTTTGAGCAATCCTGAAGACCACCTCAAAGCCTCTCTGACACATACGCGGATGAGTTAGAATTAGTGTTAGCCGCGATGATTTGAGTGGCGTTGTTTTGATGATTGGGCATATCAGCACTTGATCCGTTCACCGAATTGGCCCCACTGACGTTCCCGGCGTTTTGCAAGAATGTCGAGCCATGGTTGGCCATCGTCAACGTGCCATTGGTCGGAGGTAAATCCAAGTTCTCTCGTTGAGTTTGGCAATCAGCAGCTAACTGATAAAGGAATTCGGTCGAATAACTGTATTTCGAAAATATCAGTCTTCCGTTACGGATCTCGTAGTCGATTTTCTTCTCAGTCACCATCCCTAAACTCGTTTTCCTGTGGACAAGGTTTCCAAAGAATTATCTAGGTTAGTATTTCGATCAATTTGATGCTTGATTGACAGGTCGAAGGGAGCCCACACTCCACTAGAACTGCAAAAGTGAACGGCTCCGGGGTTTTTCACTGGAGTGGTTGGCCCTTCTTGTTTGCATGGGTTCTGGATCGAAGCGATGTCAGGATTCGACTCATTCAAGCCCAGTACCAGTTGATTATCCACTCACTGTATCAATAACAAAGATTACATTCTGAGCAAGAAAAAGAAAGAAGTCAGTTAGGTGTTGGAGTGCTCGTTTCAGTTTTAAAAATTCAAAAAGTATATTACCATTACTCTGAAGAGCTGGGCAAGGACACCCAATTGTACCGTGTCTCGTGCATTGTCAACCAAGGTCGCTTTTGGTGGATGATCGGACAGGAAAGTTCCGTTCTGCAGAGATCCGTACAGTCCATCCTTCGAGCTGATTGGCGAGTAGAGGGTTAGCTTGGCCGTCACCGCGATGATGGATTGCAATCGGTCTTCAAACTGTTGAAGATTGGCGTTGAGGGCGGACCACTGCTCAGGGAAAAAAATGGGTTGGATCAACAAACGTCACCTACACAAAATAAATGAGATGCTGTTTCCACAGGTTGAGCAGAGCCAAGCTTACCAGCTGAAATTTATCATGGGTCACGGTTTTATGGTGGTGTTTGGGACTACGCTTTTGTAGTCCCCTACAAACGTAAAGAGATGGGCAATTCAGCGGAAGTGAAGGTGGATCAACAAAAGAGGTTCAAGTAACTTGCCCTGTTGCTGCGCCCTTCACCAAAGCTTCATCTGTTGTTTTTAACGACGCCGCCACTGCAGCCTCTTCAGCTTCTCTTGTTGCAGCGGTGGTGGCAGCAGTAGCCGCGACCTCGGATGTCTCTGCTGCAGCGAGTTCGGCTCCGGATGTAGTGAGGTACGCCCAAGTACCCGCTACGGCGGTACCGACCGACGACAAAGCGATTCCGGCGGCGTTCCAGATCGTAACAAGTAATCTCCACAGTATGGGGACGATGAGCGTGGCGGTGAATGCGAGTAGGATCACTCCACTCAAAGATACAAGGCCAATCGTCAGGTTGATCAGATTTTTCTTGTCGTCACCCTCGGGCAAACTGCCGAAGTTGAAAAAAAAATCTCAGTGAACCCATTAAGTCAATCACTGAATCTATCCTACTTACAAGTCGGCAGACACGTTGAGGCGGAGGTGCCTGTATTGAGCGGTTTAGGTCAAT